CTTTCTCTCTTTCTCTGTCTCTCTCTCTCTGTCTCTGTCTCTCTCTCTCTTCCTCCCTCTCTGTCTCTTGTGCTTCCTGAGCATGCGAATCTACAATAAAAAAAGTGACAAATATTCAGCATCAAAGTTTGCATGGAAATTGAACTACACATCGAATGACAACTTGACAGCTAAAACAATCGATATGATGTCAACCAAATTCAATTGTCTGTACACCCCTACTAAGACTTCATCCAAAGACAATACATAATACATCATAATTAACTCTAACACAATGATTAATACATCCAAAGACGCATTCTCTCATACAAAAATAATACATAATACATAACATTATAACGCAATAACTAAAACACACGTTGGACTTCATGCACAGGTCAATAAGGCAACAGTTAAAAAGCCAAGTCATACAAAGGCGTACAAAAATAGAACAAGAATTATGTGAACTTTGGAATGGTTTCTTTCTACTCGTGACTAGTTCGTCGTTCTTAAAGCTTCTTCTCCCTTTCTTTTGCTTCGTTGGGGAACAAACAATATTTTATATCGTCAACCATCTGTTCAGGTGTACTAAGCCCAAAATTTATGTTTTGTCTTTTTTTTAAAATTGCGTTTCTTAATCGGTGAAATCAATTGCAGGTGTTCAAGGAATAGTTTGTTGGAATTCAAATCTATACTTTAAAAAATAGTAAGAAAGAAAACATTTCATTAGTAAATTGTTGAAAGAATGAAATAGACTTTCCTCTCTCCTGACAACGTTTTGCTCCTTCTTTCCGTTCAAATATCTATCGTCCTTTATCCCTCCTCATTTTTGTGTTTGTTTACTCTCTTGTAACATCTCTAACCTTCGGCACTAATATGACCATATTGAAAAAGGTGAAAAAGTTTAAGTTTAACGCCCCTATCAACACTATTAGGTTTTTAAGAGGTTGGACCTCCGAGTTTTACGTCTGTCTCCGAAAAGATCGAGTCATACGGGAAATTAATATAAAGTGCCTTTCCCAAGGACACAACATCGGACCGTGCTGAGGCTCGAACCCCTCGAACCTGCATTCTCACAATTACGGGTCCGGTAGCCCAACCACTAGGCTTCTGGCGCCAATCTCTAACCGTATTGTGTTACAAGTGCCGTACAACTCTTTCTAAAACTAAACTTTATGGACTTTGTACATTTGAACAGCTTGCTGACGATACATTATACAACTTTCGTAAGTATATATACACATAATATTATATCCTCAAAATATGTCATGATGAATTTGATTATATGAATAAAGGATTTACACTATGATCCAGTTTTGGCACAGGTCCACCTCCGATACGTTCATATATTTTCCCGAAGTTTCGAGTCATTCAATAGATAAGAAGATAAAGCAAAAAAAAAAAAAAAA